TCCTTCATTTTCTTATCCAGAGTTTCTTCCAATTCAGCACAACGCTTCTTTGATTCCTCCTAAAATTTCTCTTTACTTCATTAATGCCATTCTCAAGCAATTCCAGTATGAGAACTCAGGGCAAGCCCATTTCCAAACAGAGCAAGAATAAGAACTTCGTGCTTCATGATAGTCCTTTCATTTTTCTCCTCTCCTACTATCTCTATTGCCTTTTATTCTATATATCTTGCTACTTCACATTTCCAAATGGTGATTAGAGGGCTGTACTGATGACTCTCATCCCTAAACCACATCTTATATTGTCTGGGTTCGCCTTATGCACGTTCCAGCTCGAGCCATCCAGTACCGGTTCAGCCCTTACATTTCCAAATTCCATCTGCCCACAGGGCCCAAACAGCCCGTGGGGTCTTCTTCTTACAGCTGAGGGATGAAACACAGGCACACCATCGCCTACGTGCCTTTCCGCATGACCTTTCGACATGTCAACGCTTTTGTGCCACTTGCACAGCTCTTCTATCCTTTTCGGTTCTTGGCCTTTCCATATATTCCATGCTCCGGACCGCTTACTTGTTTAAAAGACAAGATTTCGGCCTACCAGCGGCCGTAAATTATTTTAACAAACCTATCCTACCCTTAATATTCTGACTCCGACCGTTCCACATTTTGATTTCTCTGGACAGTTCACTTTTTTTGAAGTTACAATTTAGCCTTCAAACGGCCACAATAGTTCAGAAGAGTCGATAACCGGCTGTCCCATGAGCTCGGCAACTAAGACAGGGAAAACTACTACTGGCTTGCTTTTTCATTGAAAAAACTTCTCGATGAACAGCCCCCGAAGCAACAAATATTTCGCAATAAATTCAGCACAACGGACTGCTATACCAGCTTAAAGCGTGCGGTAGAAGAACGAAACAAAACATACAAGCTGTTCGCCAAATAACTTTTCTCCTTCTCACATCCCAATTTGAAAAAGTGTGAGACAAAACGATCCCATATCGCTTAAGATTTGCAAGACCTGCACTGAGATTAAGCTGAGTTGATAAGGTGATCTGGAGATCAGTGGCAAGCAATCTTTTTCCGTACACTATTCACAAATCAGCAACTTTTTCGGAAAAAGTATTTGGAAAAAACACACCTCTCTTTTTCGACTTTCTTCCACTTCATGCATCATTTCTTGCTCGATCTGTGAGCGTAGCCTGGATTCTAGGTCAGCACGTGCCTTAGCAACGCGCTCTTGCACTAGTGACTCCAAATCCGCTACTCTGGCGCTCACCTGAAATCGTAGCAATCATAAAAGATGCAGATTGAAGCATATTTAAGCAAACAGAAGACTACGGTGACAACTGTTTTCAATTTTAATGAGTGCTCATTACAGCCGAGGCCTCTCAGTGGCCTAGTTGTGATTAACCTATTTTGTATTTTTTTTTTAAAAAAAAGTGTGAGAATTTTTTGTAAAAACTAACAAAGAGTGCAATTTTTTTGTTGCGAAAATAAGATCTGATTTCAAAATGTACCATGTTTGAGAAGTGAAATTGAACT